TAAATAGCAGAGATTACCATCATGAAAAAGGTGGGGGGGGGGGGGGGACCGGTTTGAGAAAAGAGAGTAAAAAGAGAGAGAGAGAGAGCACACGACTCGCGCACAACAACACGGGCTTCCATCGCTCAGCTGATGTTGCTGTTCTCACTCTGGTTGGTCTTCTTTTCCTCCGACCTTGCGCCTCAGAACATACAGATGCTCCCAAAATGGTCATGAGAGTGGATACCGCGGATCAGCTGCTGCTGGTTGTATCCTCTACTCCGCACCTACCTCTCTTCGCTGCTTTTGTCCTAATCGACCAACGCCTCGACAGATCGTCTCCCGCCGCAGCTTTTTATGGAATCAATCGAGCAAGAGCAAACCGGGGAGGGGGCCATGTAGCCTCCGCTCGCCACGGCGCCAAGCTCGCGCACGCGCGATCCTCTCCTTCTTCCTCTCTTTGTCTCTCTCTCTCTCTCTCTCTCTCTCTCTCTCTCTCTCTTTCTCTCTTCCCTCTCTTCCCTCCCCCGTTCCCCCCTTCCATTCAGTTCCCCGTCCTCTGTTCCCGATCCCCCAAGCGCCAGTGGGACGATCCATACCCCAACGCCAACACTTCAAAGAGAAACCGCACTTTGCACCTGGTTTGTTCGATTCACTCGACGATCCAATGCTCGCGGTCTCAGCGGTGGTGTGAAGCAGCCCACAGCTGCCTCTCCTGCGCGCGCGCCACGCGGGGCACACACACTTGGGAATTCCGCAGGTATGACACAAAGAGGGGGCCCCGTCCAAGGGCCACGACCCGCCACAGCTGCTGCCACACGTGTCCTCACCAACCGAAGCGAGGGAGAGAGGGATAGAAAGAACTTTGCTGTGTGCGTGCCAGGCAGAAAGAGGGGGAAGGGAGACTCCGTGGTGGACAGAAGCAGCCGTCTCGAATTGAGAGCCAGAGGATACATATTTTACGGGCGGGGGGTTACGACAGGTGGACCGCTGCCGGTGTTTGCTCTCCTCTGCTGGTGGGAGGAGAGGGCGCGCGGAGATCAGAGCGGATCGGGCTAGTTCTGCCATGGCAGACCAGTTCTACTGCCGTTACTAGTGAGTGGTGGATTAACACCAGCCGTTATTTCGTTCTGCTTCGGTCGCGTATCGTTTCTCTGTCAGGGGCGGCGCGGGAGAGGTTACGCGCGATCCCATCCCGCGTGGCCTCTGCTCTTCTCTTCGAAACAGAGAGAGAGGCCATCTGGGCACAGGGCACAGCAGTATATAAACGAGGAAAGATATGTATCAATGCAATGAAGGCGCGTGCATCGGTGGCGCACGAATTTTCCTGCATTTCCCGGTCGTACACTCCTGGCTGTTGTCGGCGCGAACGCAGGCGTGTCGGTGCGATGTTACGACCGCCAACAACGGGAGGGAATCTATAATAGGTGTCTTTCGGGCAGGTTGTTCTTGCGGCCCCTTCGTGAGCGCGTCTCTGGTACATTCTCGACTAGAGATGCATCTTCTTTCCTCATCGTGTTCTTCCATTGAGTCGCACTTCGCCCTCCGCTCTCACGTATCTTCACTTCGTCGTCGTACTGAGGAATCTAAAACTTGCGTAGGTGTAGGTACAGCATTCCATTTTTTGTTTACAGCATGTAACACCCAAGCACTTCCACGAAGCCCCCCCCCCTAAAACGGGGCTAAACAGGCTATTGAGGTCCTTGCCTTGGAGGTTTGTTCAGAGTGTCCCTCTTTGGGCGAAACAGAAACGCCGCGGAAGGAAAGGGTACAGAAACTCCCAATGCGAAGCTCTTTACATGAGACAGGTCTGGCACATGCAGTACACCCGTAGATAGGATCTACATGCGTTGCATACAAACAAAAGCAGGCGTAGTCTGGCTGGATCTTGGATCTTGTTACGGACAAAATGTTCTGTGTGACCCCGTGGACCAAAGCTCGTCAGTTATGAACAGTCAAGGCAGCGGGGTAGTGAGCATAGGTTCATGCCGCCTATATGAATTGGTTTGTTCTCACCTCCGACTTTTTTCTGCAAAACAAAACGCGTCGCCCGTGTGGGCCACAAGGGCAAGTTCGGGCACGAGTTCATGGAGTTCGAGTTCTCCAGCACCGGCAAGCTGAGGTACGCCAACAACTCCAACTACAAAAACGACACGATGATCCGGAAGGAGGTGACGGTGAGCCAGTCCGTGCTGGACGAGGTCCGTCGAATCATCCAGGAGGCGGACATCATTGCGTGAGTTTTGTCCTTAATCATACCTTGTGGGTGTTGCGGGTGTCGTCCTCGTTGGTGGTCCTGGTGTTGCTCGCGCGTGTTTGCCGACAGCAGCAGACAAGCATATCAACTGCGTACTGCTGTTGTTCGTGACTGGTGTTGGTCGTAGTGGTGTACATGGGTGTCAGTGCTTGACGCTGTTCCTGTGCTTCATGTTGGTGTTGTTATTTGTTGTTGTTGTCTTAACATAAAAAACCGTTCCGATCTCTCTCTACCCAGTACCTTCGTATGTCCGTACTGATCCAACACTCGACGCGGTCGATTCCCGTGGTCACAGGTTAACTTACGCTAAAAAGGTACACTCAAATAAACTGGCCCCGAGGGGTCCGCAAGTCAATAGAAATCAATGACAGGTATTCTGGAGTCCTCCACTCCCTCTGCGCGCTATGCTATGAGGTGGAATGATTGAATTCGCACTACGGGACGCCACTAGTCAACAGCAGTGTCAATTTTCACAGCAAACACCCACAAGATGTGCGAGGGTTGGTGTGGCATGGCAACCGTACTTCACCTTTCACCCGATCTCGAAATCCTCGAGCGTGTGCTAGTCTCTTTCTACCGCCAGTAAAGCCCCCGCCAGCTTCCTCAGAGCGGCACGTCAAGCGTTGTGCGTGGGTCACGCAGAATCACCGAGAGGGATGAGACACGGAAACGCCTAGATAGATGAACAACGAGAGCACCACTCCGCCTGATTTTTTTTGTGTGTTTTGGAATGAATTGGTCGACCACCGTCGCGTGAACAACTACGCGGGGAGCAGGGAGGACGACCACAACTGGCCGGAGCCCGACCGCGTAGGGAGGCAAGAGCTTGAGGTGAAGCTGGGCAAGGAGCACATCTCCTTCACGGTAAGACAAAGTGAAAGAACTGCTGCTGTTGTGCGTTTTGATCCCATGTACATTTGGCTCACAAGGAGGGATAGACGGGAGTGGTAGTGGTGTAGCGCCGAAGTTCCCCCCCCGAGGCCTTGGCGTTGCCGGGCATGAGATGCTCTTGTTCCGCTTAAGCCAGCTGAGTGGCGCCCCTTGTGCACCCCCCTCCCGCCTGTGTCTCGCATGCCCGCGCTGTGTTTGCCTTCCTCTCGTGCCTTGTCGATCGTGTTGTCAGTGCTCCAAGATCGGGTCGCTGTTGGACGTGCAAGAGAGCAATGACCCAGAAGGGTTGCGCATCTTCTACTACCTCATCCAGGACCTCAAGTGCCTCGTATTTTCCCTCATCACTCTCCACTTCAAGGTACACGGGTGGAAGCAGGCATCCAATCGGCAAAAAGACGAACTCTTGTTCCTCTTTGAATCCGTTGTGTCTTTGCTCTAGATAGGCTGTCAGTCCTGACCTCCGGAATGTATTCACCGCTGGGAATACCCCGGTGGTCCGCACCTACGAACGAAAAGCAGCAGACATCCAATCGGCAAGAGACTAAATAGCTCAAGGTCGTGGCCGACTCCCTAAAGCAAGGAATATATAGACGAGCACAGCCAGAAACACGAGATTTACGCGACACGGCGTTCCAAGATTTTTTGTGGTTACAGGTACTTGTGCATGTGGCATGTGGCGCTGACCGACGACCCCAAACTGCGTGTGAACGCTAGGCTGCCTGCTTGGCAGCGACTGAGCCAGGACATTTAAGTCCTCCCATGTGTACCGCGGCTGTTGCTGTTGCGGCGCTTGCAGCAACGAGCACCGCTGCTGCCACTAAGCGAGACCGATCGGCCGACCTATCTTTTCTGCGAGTGTGGGTGATTGTAAGACTCATTTCGGCCTACCTGTGGCCGCCCGGCAGAACCATCTTGTACGGCGGGCGTACCGCCAGAGTCTCCTTCGGCCAACCCCGAAGCTCTGGCTGAACAGGAAGTGCAATTTGTAGCTTCTTTTTCGCCTTTGAGAGAGCGTGTCGTCGCCGCCGGGGAGACTTGGCGCGGTTTCCGTGGTCGTGGGAGCGTCGGTTGTCGCACGCACAGCCGTGATGGCATCTGCTGCTGTTTCTGATGCTGTCTCTCGCCCCCCCTCGTATAACTCGCATTCATTTTCCGCTCGTTCTTTCTCGCACACCGGATCCTCTGTGTTTTGATAGATCCGACCTATTCCGTAAGGACGGTCCTTCAGGGGAGGCATGGCGAAGTCTACCCGCTCGTCAGTCGTGACAAGTCTGGCATCTTTCATCTGAAGTGGTGCGATCTCACGAAGCTGCTGGCTGCTGGCTGGTGACATATCGGTGCTATCCGATTACCGATTTCTTTTAGCGTGTATCCCGTGCCATGAGGGGCCGGGATGGATGTAGACCAGCTGAGGTGTGCTCTTTTTTTTTTTTTTTTGGTTTGGGCTGTTGCGGCCTGACGGGGAAAGGCAGCATGGCTCGTTGATTTTGTTGCGTCATAACGTGGGCTTCTTTCGGGCAGGCAAGCAGGCAGGCAACCCCCCTTCAAAACAAGAAACAGCTTTCGAGTACGGTGGGGGCTGCGATCTAAGCGTGCAAGCACTCTGCTAGGACTTGTCTGTCACCGGGTGTCTTAAGCAAGCGACTTGGTCGTGCCGACAGACTCCATGGCGAAGAGATAAACAGCAGCGCACGGCAGCAGCACAGCAGTAGTACAACCAGACGCCTGTACGGGAGGATTAGGTGTATCCTAGATCATGAGATTCAGATCGAGGGGTAAAGACAGGACTGCTGTGAAGAGTCGCGAGAGAAACAGTCTGTATTGGCATAGTCTGTGACTCGACAACGGGTTTGACGTTAGGGTTCTACGATTCGAAAGCACTCAAGCCTGGGTCAGCTTTTCAGTATTGGTGCCGAACTAGCGTGCAGAAAAGGTCAACGCATGCGGTAGAGGTTAGCACGTACGCAATCCCCTGAGGATTAGGGTGGGGGGGGATGTTGGAGGGTGGTATGTAATGTTTTTCCGTTCGCGGGAACAGCACGTGTAGCATAGTAGGTAAGTTAGGGTTTGTGGGTGGTAAATTTGACAGAAAACCATTTGGAAAATCATGTTTATTGCTGGGTATCGGGTGGCGCGGCGGGGCGAACGTTCTTTCCTGTATCATTGCGGAGAGGGAGAGGGGGTGTGGGGGGAAGACGTGTCCCGCCCCATCCCTTGCAGTCCGTCATGTCGGCAACAGATGATATCCGAAGTTCTGCTTTACAAGTATTTTTGTTGGAAGATAATTTACCTCAGTTTTTCCTGGGATGAAGTTTTCTGCATGAGTCCACACACACCATTTTCCAAACTGGCGACCGGTTCTGCAGGAACTTCTTCGCCTGATTCTGAAGCTTTAGCTTCAGTCCCATCGTTCAATATCCGTGGAAGTTTGATTCGCATGCCCCACCCCTTGCCCGACCCGGTCTAAAATGCTGATCTCGAGCTACAGTGCAAATCTCGTGGCGCCTCGAGTATGGTTCGGTGTGGAATCGCAAATCATGAGCCGTCCCCGAGTTTGAGCAGCTTCCGCCTCCTGTGGCCGGCAAGAGTCGACCTTGACTGTTCCTTGCCTGTTTCGCCATGGAAACGGCCGGTTGAACAGCGAAAGAGGGTCCTGCGTGCTGCGCGCCACATCTTTTTTTGTTTATTTTTTGCGTTTGTTCTTGAGTGACCATTTTTTTTTTTTTTCTCTCCCATCATTGTCCAGAAAAACAAAAAAAAGTGACCGTTGTACACATGCGGCTGCTGCTGCTGCGGTTGCTGCTGTTATGCTCGGAATGTGCTGCAATGCTCGGACGGTTATCGTAGTCAGGTTTGACAACATTCTGCTCGTTCGTATAGCGGTAGCGGTGCGCATCTATCGCGACGGCAAGTGCATTGAGATGATAGTTCGTCCGTCGTGCTTCTAGTCTACACAGACAGGTATTAAGTCGCAGGTGGTTTGTTTGTTTTGGTTTTGTTTTTTCGGAATGGATGCTGCAGCAGTTTCGGGATGGATGCTGCAGCAGGGGGGCTGCTGGATTGATTGATTGTTTTGAGTTTGGCTTCATCATGTTCAGGATGGAATGGATGTTACAGCAGGGGGCCTGCTGGAATGGTTTATTTTTCAAGGTTTGGGTATCGGAGGGTTTGACTGTTCTCGTTATTATTTATTTTGAGCTGGTCAATGAGTTGAAACATGAATGTTTTTCTCGATGATTTCGAAATTTGAAAACAGGAATCAGCACGCTCATCCGCTTCCTGCTTTCTGATTGGCCAACGGTTTATTTCTGCCGCTTCTCACAAAACGCAGATTTCCCTTACTTCGTCAGTCAATCTTTCGCTTATCTGAGGAATTAATAATTTGTTCTGAGCAGTCAGGACGTAGGACACGTTTTCCCGGAGTTACCCGTCCTCCCCGTTCTGATGACGACGTGATTCTGATGTAATGTTGATTTTTTTGCTAGGTATTTTTCCAAGGAAGGGTGATTTTTCGTGTTTTGACTGCTTGATTGAGAATTTGGTAGAAGAAGAGCATTTTTCTCAAGAGGGTGATTTGTTTATTTTATTGACAGACCTTTTAGGGGTAGAAAATTGACATCACTTGGTTTGAAAGCTTTGCAGGACGTGTTCTGTTGGAAGATCCGGCGATTTCGTGGGACATGTGCTATTGACAGAGTCGTTTGAATTGGAATGGTGGATGATTTATTGTTGGCATTGTTTTTTTTTATTTTTGTCTGCCGTTTTATCTGGCAATGATAGTCGTGACGGGGATTTCTTTTTTCGTAGATCGTACCTCGTACCGAGCAGGGGGGCTGTTTGGGGTGCTCGGCAGAGTATACTGTCTACGGGGCCTCCGGGGGATACGCGGATGGTATGTATTGACGGACATGCTGCATGGCGATGGTAGGCCACAAAGTCTTGCGTCAACCTTCTTTCTCTTTTGGCCACTGACGACGAGCTACCGCACCCAAATAAAGGTACTGGGTAGAACAACGAACGGGATTGATTGTAATAATTCATTGTGAAGACAACAACAACGGAACTAACTGCTGGGTTCGTCCATGGATAGTTTTTGCAGCACTTATGAAGTACTAGTAAATGTACAAACGACTTCTTCATGGATGATGGATGGGTAATGAGAGGTTTCAATTCAACTACTTGTTGTACTACTGCACAATATTAACAACTTAATGGAGTATGGAGGGTGCTCCTTGTTCTTATTTATGCATGGGATGTACCGGCAGTAGGTGACATAGTAAATCGCATCATCGATATTCACAGCTAACAATGTTAGTCCACGACGACGAGGATGTCAAACGATACGTTTGTTTCGGAAAGCTATCGGTGCCAACGCCGCCCGGCCGCTTTCTGCTGTGGAGTAATCGCGCTTTGAAAATTAAAAAAAAATGTTCAGGGGGTGTGATATCTTACGTCATCTACTCTGTGTACGGAGAACTCTTTGTCGTGCTCGGTGGGCGAGCGTGTCGCGGTGTGCCCCCTCGACTTTATTAACCGCTAAAAAACTGGAAAGCTTCCGACAGGCAACGCGACGATACTCGTCGAGTTGCTATCACATTGAATGCTGCTATGCACCGCGAAAATTACCGCTGAAATCCAGACA